ACGGCCGGGCCTCAGAGGCAGCGGCGGCCCAGTCGTCCGAATCCACTCGAAAGGGTACCTGCGCAGCTTCATCTTCAGGAGCCTCGTCAGCAGGGGGGTTGACCACATCGAAGGCACCCTGCAGGTCGGCGCTGAGTCGATCTCGTCTGCGAACACGAGCTTCCTCGCGGCGCCTCGAGCGCTTGCTGTCAGGGTCTGAGGCTCTCTTGGGCCTGGGCCCTTGTGGTAGCTCAATGGGGGTGTCCAAACCTGATGCCGCCAATCCGCATGGCCTGAAAGAGTATCAATATCCAGGGCAACGTGTGTCTTCCATGGAACTAGCTCGAATGGCTTGACTCTGAGCTGGTCTGCAAAGCCCCTCTTGACAACCAAGTAGTCGATCAAGGAACCACTGCCAAGAGTACAAGTCGCACTACATCCACTCGGAGTAACAATCCCCCCATCCCACACTTTAAGCAGGCCGCTCTTGGTGAGCTCGTGTGGTTCCAGATTCCAGTCCGCACAAATGATCCACGGGTCAGCCAACGAGCAGACAAACCTACTGATAGCTCGCAGGCGGGGAGTATTGATGTCACCTGTTTTGGGCCCTGGGAATAGGTAGGCCGACACCAGCACAACGTTGCCGCGCTTAAGATGCAGGGTGCTAAGACAAAACCCCTCAATGGCTCTAGGTTTGGCAGCGCGGAGCCGCTCCCAGGAGGTGGCTGCAATGTGCCTTTTGTGTATAACCCACTCACCACCCCTGGAGCCAGCAGATGAGGATGCTGAAGCCGATGCAGGGGTGCCAGCCATCTTCCATCCGTCCTTGAGCAGCTCCGCGCGGGCAGCCTCCATGCCACTAACCTTGACATGGGTCTCAGCGAAGGCTACGGTCTCAAACATAGTGCCTGCTCCTCGCATGAATGACTGAGCCTTGGGGTCCCGCTCACTGATATTGGCGAACAACAAACGGGCCGAGTGAGGGTTGGCACCGCCCTCCTCCGTAGCCTCCATGCACGGGCTTCCCTTAGCAATACTCTGCGTGCCAGAAACCGAAGCCGAAGGAGGAGCCGAAGTCGGGGTACCCCTCGAGGTTGGTGCCGTCGCCGAAGTCGAGGCACACGTAGAGGTCCTCGGATCCAAGGGTGGCGATGCAGGGGCCCGCGCAACTCCTGAAGTTGAGCGTGATAAATCTGACGTACACGTCTGCGCCGATGCTGAAAGGCACGGCCTCCCACAAAACGGCAAAACCACGGTTGAAACCTCAGCAGGGGTCTCCCGTCGCTGCGGGGCCCTGGTATCAGGCGTACGGCGCGCGTCGATATGACTGAGAGAGTTGCGGGCCAGCTCCTCCTGCCAATCGTCGTAGTCGATGTCGCGGAGGCCGTTGAGGTAGTCACGGTACGTCTGCCGTTGACGACTACGAGCATGCCACGCTCGCTCGCAAATCTGCCTGGCCATGTCCAGCTGAGCAACCGCAAAGTTGCCGTGGCCTGCTGAGTCCGCCACCTCCTGAACAAGAGGCTGTAGTGCTGGATCTGCCAGGAAACTGGCAACGTATGGGATGCACATCCTCTTCCAGTCGGCGAAATCGGAAGCATCATCCACAGTGCTGGGGTCAGGTACCCAAGCACCAGTGAGCGACCTCAGCTGCCTCTCACGTAGCAGTCGATTATGCAGGGCCGCGCGCGTGGCAGGGTTCTGATCCTTGCAATGGAGCACCCTGTCATCGAAATCAGAGTCGTCGTCGCTCTGAGAGTAGCAGAACTTGTAGTGGCCGAAAACCTCCAGGTCTGGGAGGAAGGCAAGCTCGTCGTCCTTCGAAGAAGATGTCCCCGTAGCACGGGAAAGGCGAGCCAACATATGTGACCGCAGCCGTGCAGTCGCAGGTGCTAAACATCTTGCGTGTCCCGCTTCTTCTCGTCAGTAGCTGCACTGGCCTTGGCTCTGGCGGCGGCACGAAGGGCCTCGGCGCTGATGCGCTCACCTCCACCACGTGACGATCCAGCAGCACTGCCGCCAGCAGAAGAAGCCCCAGCAGCAGTAGCCGAAGGCTCCGCAGGGCCCGAGGCAGGGCCGCCATCCTGACCGCGTCGCCTCTTGGCCTGGAGCCTTGCGTGGAGGGCCTGGGCCTCCTCCCGCAGCTTGAGGATCTGCTGAGCGGCGGGGCCCAAGGCCTCCTGAACCTTGGCTTGCACGCTGTTGGCGAGCTCCCCCTTGATGCGAGCCCACTCGATGCGCTCTGTCTCGTCGATCTCGAGGCCCTCCAGGTCGAAGAGGGGGCCATCGACGAAGCGCAGCGAGCCTTCGTCGACGAGCGTCGAAAGGTTGATGGCCGTAGCAGCGGATGCAGTCTCCGACCGCGGCGTCGATGGCGTCGGGAGCTGCTTGGCGCAAGCCTCCTCCCAGTCGTGCTGGGCCTGGCGTGCCGCCTCCGCCGCCGCGTCCTCCGCAGCCTTGGCGTCGGCCAGCCAGGCCTCTCCCTCGACGACCCGCCGCGCACAGGTCTCAAGCCACGCCTGCGCGCGCCTGCACGCGATCCCCTTCGCAGAGACCTCCTCCTCCAAGAGGGGTGGGCGGCGAGGGGCCTCGGCGGCAGGCTGCTCCGTGGCTGCCAGCTTGGCGGACAGGGCCTCGAGCTCGTCGCAGTCGCCGAGCTTCTCGCGGAGCAGCGCGAGGGGATCGGCGGGCCGCGGGGCCTCCCGTGGCTCCTCAGGCGGCGGTCCGCCGCCGTAGGGGTACCAGCCTGGTCCATGCCAAACCCATGGGCGGCGCTCCTTCGGTGCACCCTTGGCGGCCCTCGGCGGAACAGGAGGGCCCTTGGAATGGCCCCCCCCAGGCTGCGCCGCGCCCGCGGCAGTGTCGAAAGGGTTCGACACAAGCGTGGGCGGGCCGAACGACCACTGGCCGGTGGGCATCTTGTCGGGCGAGGGGTGCGGGACCATCGGCGAGCAGCACTTGTAGCACCAGTGGTTGGACTTGAAGTTCCACCGATAGCGGCAAGCCGAGCAGCTGACGAACGTGCCCGACTTATCCTTACCCTTGCCACACGCGCCATTGTTGCCCACGTTGCGGCCCATGCGCAGACGGTCCTGCTGAATGGAGCAGGGCTCCTCACCTGGGGAGAACCAGGCGGAGAATGTGAAAGCAGCCGCGGACTAGCGGTATCCGTTTGGTCCCCTGGGGAACAAGGCGTCTTGAGCCAAAATGGCTACGTAGGGGCAGGAGGAGGAGGAGGGGGAGGAGGAGGAGGAGGAGGAGGAGAAGGAAGTGAGATGCAGGACGCACGGCCGTCGCCACTTGCCCGTGCCCCCCCGAGGGGCCCGGCGGAGCGGCGTCTCGCGCGGATCCGGAGCGGACCTCCCGCCGCCGCGGGCGGTGCCGACCGCGTGGCCGTCGCCGCTCTTTCCTGCGACCCTGGGTGGCCCCAGTGGAGCGGCGTCCTGCGCGGCTCCGAGCGTGTGCGGTGAGGGCACTGGATCGAGTTACTCTGGGCGGGGTATTAATCGAGGGGTGGGCGACGAACCTTCCGACGGAGCTTACCCACCCACCCCTCCTCCACCTCCTCCTCCTCCACCTCCGCCTCCTCCTCCTCCTCCTCCTCCTCCTACTCCTCCTCCACCTCCTCCTCCTCCTCCCCATCCTCCTCCTCCTCTCCCTCCTCCTTTTCCTCCTCCTTTTCCTCCTCCTTTTCCTCCTCCTTTTCCTCCTCCTCCAACCCCCCCTCCAACCGTTCCGACAGCACGTGCCCAACCCTCCCAGCGGATCCAAAGGCGGGCGATCAGTGCCCCATCCAGAATATTGAGCCCAAGGTTCGCTAGGGACTGGTTTCCGCCCAAAGCGACGAACACCCTTCTAAAACCATCTCGGAACTCTCTGAGAAACTTCTTGGAACCCTTCCAGAAGGTTTTTCGGCGGGTTTCGGGATAGTCTCGGCTGTTTTGAAAGGAAACCTGTCGCTAGCGAACCTTGGGATTTCTAAGGATAAGGAACCATTGGATAAAGACTCCACGGTCTGGAAGCAGAGCCGGTGGAACTCCAATTGACGCTTGGCCATGGGTATCACTGCCACCCTCATCAGATGAGGAGTCCTCCAGGGTCTGAAGCCTCCTGGCCACATTCCTTAACCAACCCTCCCACCGTGCCATGGACGGCGGGTCGAGAGCTGCAAGTGCCACCTGCGTAGGGATCAAGGTTCAGTTCGAAGCATGCCTCGGCGAGCTGATGGGGATTCGGGCTCCAGCGCGGTGGTGCGGAACGCGTGGGGAAACTCGGATGTCAGATGTGGTGCTGGCGTGCACTCGCCCAGCTTGCCTCTCACCTCTCTCTTCTACAGAGGGGCATGGGCTGGGGCTATTATTGCTTCGTCCCCCAGTTGTCTCCCCACCGAGGAGCTTTCGAGGACTCCCTGACTTGGCAACGTTGGGTGGGGACTGGCTCATCGAGCTCGAATTAGTGATACATCGCCGATCGATCGGCAATAGGCCCCCGATAACGAGCCCACACGGTCCTGGGCGGGGTTGGATATCGGGCCGCTTTCGGCGATGAACGGGTGATTGGGGGTCGATGTGTCCCCCCCTGAGCTTATCATCCCCCCCTAACATTGTCTCCTGGCTTTCGTGTCACAACTCGGTTCTGCGGCGGCCGTTTGGGGGGGACCCGGGCGCCTCTGGAAAACTCTCGGCGGGGCGCAGCCGCTGGAAGGCACCCCGAGGCTGGACAACCGGCGAGAACCGACGAGACCGTTCGACAACCGCAGGCCCCGAACCTATCTCCCCTGGAGCCCCCTCGCCCCCCTGACCTACGCACTCCAGATTTCGTAATCAAAGGGAGGGGGTCACAACCCTCCCAGACGGGGAAGTTCAGACCACCCCAAACAAGCCATGAAAAAGGGCGGCTTTTTGCCCAGACCCACTGGAACCCTCCAAGACAGCTCACACCAGACCCCATCCCAAATCAGACCCCCCCCCCTTCTGTTGTGAAGTCCGGAGTGCATTCTGCACCCACCGTGGGCCACGGACCTTGGAGCCTCCTCCGAGGAGCTGCCGTCCTCCAGCGCTTGTGCCGAGGAGCCGGCGCCGCCAGCCGCAACCGGCCTCGGCGGCGAGCAGAGGAGGGCACGCCTCAAGGAAGGCCTCCCGTCTGCTTCGAGCAGGAGCTCGACTATAGAATTGATTTACCCCCGAGAAAATAAAACGTCCGACGAACCACATCAAATCTGGAATGCATAAATTCTGTAGTTGATCCCCTACTCAAGTGAGGCCTCTAACCCCTTGGACGGCGCGGGGGGCATGCCCCAGGGGGGGGGGGCTCGACCCTTCTTTTGGAGCCACCAGCCTTCGCAAAGCGCGTCCCCCCCCCCCCTCTCTGACCCAGACCTCGTCGTGGCCTTCTCCAGTCCGCCGGGCCCTAGAAGTATCGACCACATGGCTCGTGTGCATTCCCAAGCCTCTGCGACTTGAGCTTCTCAATTCCGGGCCCACAGGTCCGCCTTTTCGCCCCGAGTTTTTTCTCTTGACCGTCCTGGGGCCCAGCGAGGGCCCCCAGAGGCCGAGAGCGAAGAAAGAAGCGTTGCTTCGGATCTTCCGCTGCGTTGGAGGCCTGGGCCTCGCGCCGTCGGTCCCTGGGGACACGACCACGCGAAAAGCTGCAACACCGCGAAGCATCACGACCCGAACCCTCGACCCCGCCTTGCTGCGGCATCTTGCTAAACTGGATCGATCTGTGATGGTGTCGAGGCCGTCGTGCTTGCAACGACTACTAGGGCTCCCCACTTCGCGCTCTCGCGCCGCCCCCCCAAAGGGAGACAAAGGAGGACGAGGAGGAGGGGGAGAAGGAACGAGGACCGCGAAGCGCGAATAACTTCGCGCCCTCGAGGGAGCCCTTGGGTGAGTATGGGGTGCGTGGCTGTGCGAAGTGGAGGCGCTGCTGTGAGATCACCCGCCGCAAGGGCACCTGCCACTGCGGAGCCAGGCTGGCTGAGCTCGCTCCCTGGGGCCACGTCTTCTCCAACGATGGATAGGGACCAGGAAAGGCGAAGAAGGCTTGGTGGTCGGAGCAAGAGGCCACAACCTCGCAGACCGCCCCACCCGTGTCGGGACACCCCTCGCAAATTTCGTGGCGCCCCGGAAACGAGCGGGAACGCCCGTGGTGCAAGATTTTTGTAGCCCCCAGATCGCAGGAACCTGGACGTGCGATGTCCCGATTTTTTCCCTACGTGGCCCCCGGAAGTGCCCACCCATGTCCCGTGCTCGGGCTCGTGACCGCGGGCCCTCTTCGACGGCCCCGAGGCCGGGCGAGGGCCTCCACGAGGCCAGAGCCTACCGGGGCCCCGCCCCCGCGCCTGCGCCGCCCGCCCAGCCCCCGGGGCCGCTGCCAAGGCCCCCCTGCCGGTGGCTGGCCTGGCCGTGGACCCCGCTGGGGCCCCCCTCCTCCTCCTCCTCCTCCTCCTCCTCCTCCTCCTCCTCCTCCTCCTCCTCCTCCTCCTCCTCCTCCCTGGACGGGAGCCTCTCCCCCGCCGGGCTGCCGGGAGCTGGTGAGGGATGTGCCAGAGCTTGGATGTGTGGGGATGTGGGGGTTGTTCCTCGTCGGGGCCCGCGGCAGCCCAGAGCCAGCCCCCGAGGCCTCGAGCTGGGGCTGGCCAGCCGCCCTGGCCTCGTCAAGGATCCTCAGAGCATGTGTTGGCGCCAACTGTGCGCTTGCCCACCGACGTCCTCCCATAGTGCGACGCACGCGGAGCAACGATAGCCGAATCCAGCTGCGTGCTACGGTCAGGCACTTCTGCATAGCGTGCCGCCCCAGCAGCCCCGGCGACAGGCCATGCTCTCCAATGTGGACAGCGTGTCGCTCCGCTCTGCGTGGCGGGAGGCTGAGAAGAACTTGAGACGTTGACGCCTGGAGACCAGGAGCAGGGCAGCGTGTCGTGCCAACGCGCGGTGGGCCAGAACCGGCGGAGCGACGCGATGGCCCCAAATGCCCGCCAATATCGGTGGAGCCGAGACGTGGTACACCTCTCGGTCTGCGGCGAGTTGGGTCCAACACGCGGTCCGTCTCACGGCGGGACGTATCCGAAACCAGCGGCAGCGAATGCGAAGGAGGTGCAAGAGGGGAGAGGGAGCTGCCGCGGAACGGTCAGAGAGCTCTCAGATCGTACAGATCTTCAAGCGGCGCCGCAGGTCAGGCTCGTCATCTCGACGCCGACGTAGCAGCGCCAGAAGGCACCGCCTCCCCAGCCCCCCCCCGGCCGCCGCCCCCTCCGCCCTTCCTTCACTCATCGCGTCGGTGGTCCGGCATTGCAGCCCCAAGCCAGAACCACTCGCGCAGGGTGGTGCACAGGCTGTGCACGGCAGGATTGACGGCGGGCAAACTGTGCGCTAGGGCAAAGCCGCCCGATCGTGGGAAACACGTGGGGCTAACACACGCCCTGAGGACCATCGGGCCCCGCACAACGCCGCGGGGCCCAGACCCGACAGGCTCTACGCTCGCTGCTGGCATGGGCTTCGGGATCTGGAAAGGGGCCTGGGCTGCGTTCGGGTCGGCCGAGCACCTCGAGGTGATGACCAGCCCAGAGATCCAACGTATGGGACTGATTTGTTTCGCCGTTTTCGGCCTCTAGCGGCCCTCGCTGGGCCCCAGGACCGCGAGAAAACGACTTAGGATGAAAATCGGGCCCCTGGGATGTGGGTCGGGACTTCTGGGGAGCCCGTATTGAAACATTCACGACGTCGGAACTCTGGGAAAGAATGTGGTCAGCATTCGGGTCGGCCGAATCCCTCCAGGTGATGGCCAGGAGGCCCGCGTGCTGACCTGACTCATTGTTGCCCTGAGGCGGCAGCTCCACGGCTGATTGGGCGGCGCTGAGGCGGCTCGGGTGGCATTCCAGCAACCCCCTGGAAGCCCACTGCTGACAAGACTCTTTTCTGTTCCCTATCGGCCCCCTGATGCGATCCGAGTCTTTCGGCAGCCACTCGTCGTAGTCGTCAGCGAAGCCGTCGTAGTGCACCTTCACCTGGCCAGCGTCCACGTCGACGACGGTGCACTGCCTCTCCACCCCGGTGCCGCTGACCTGAGGGCACGACCCTGAGACCCGCGCGTTTCACTTTTTACGCACCGGGCGCTGGCCCAATTTTCGGGCCCTGGGACCATCACAGGCCGATCCAGCACAGAGAATGCCGAGAACGATAGGGTCTAGGGCTCTGGGCGTCATTATTGGCGATGCTGCAGTTTTTGCGCAACGTCGGGTCTCAGCGACGAGGAGGGGGAAGGGGGGGGCAATGCTGGGGGGGGGGAGGGGGAAGAGCGGCGCCGAAATGCCCGTCGTGCTTTCGTGCCATGGCACCCCGATCTGAGGAAGGCCCTCCGCCTCCTCCTCCTCCTCCTCCTCCTCCTCCGCCTCCTCCTCCTCCTCCTCCTCCGCCTCCTCCTCCTCCTCCTCCTCCTGCCCTGCCCTGCCCCCCTCGACGCTCTGGCCAGGCTCTCGGCGTGATGCCAGCCGTGGCGGCGAGGGCCCGCCCAGAGACGGCCCGAGCGGCCAGCACGGCCGAGACGCGGCCACGAGCACGCCAGGCCGGGAGCACCGGGCCCCCGCCGCCGAGGCTCCAAGGGCCCCGTGAGCGACGATCGAGAACGGGCCTTGCGCGAGCCGACGTGGCGACCTCACGCGGCGGCTTGCGCGGGCCGCCCGCGCTGCACGGCGCAGGCGACCTCGTTTTCTCTTGCGTCGCTCCCGTGGAGGTCCCCACAGCAGGTCGCCTCCCCAGGTGGAGAGCCCAGGCGTGAAGGGCAGAAAGGGTGCCCCTCCAAAGTCGAGGATGTGTTCACCACTCGTGCCGTAGCCGCCCCCCCCCCCTCCTCCAAAAAAATTAGCCTGGCGAAGGACCCAACCATATGCAGTTGTGAATGCCGCAATTGTGCTGGGTGGTGGCGGACGCATGCGGGCGGCGCCACTGGGACCTTCGGTGGAGCTCCCTATGGGGCCACGAAGCGCTGTACAGGGTGGGTGAGACGCGGTCAGCAAGGGCTGTGCTGCGTGGTGGCGGACGCATGCGAGCGGTGCCACTGGGACCTTCGGTGGAGCTCCCTATGGGGCCACGAAACGCTGTACTGGGTGGGGGAAACGTCGGCAGGGAGCAAGGGCTGCGCAGGGTGGTGGCGGACGCATGCGGGCGGTGCCGCTGGGACCTTTGGTGGAGCTCCCTATAGGGCTACGAAGCGCTGTTCTGGGTGGGTGAAGCGCAGGGAACAAGGGCTGTGCTGGGTGGTGGCGGACGCAAGCGGGCAGTGCCACTGGGACCTTTGGTGGAGCCCCCTATGGGGCCACGAAACGTGCGAGGGGTGTGCCAGAATGGGGTGTGGAACCGCATGCCAGCGCAGCCACTGGGGCCTTCGGTGGAGCTCCCTATGGAGCCACGAAACGTGTGAGGGGTGTGCCGAATGGGGGGTGGAACCGCATGCGAGCGCAGCCACTGCGGCGTTCGGTGGAGTCCCTATGGGGCCACGAGACGTGTGAAGGGCGTGCCGAAAAAGGGGGTGGAACCGCATGCGAGCGCAGCCACTGGGCCTTCGGTGGAGGGGTGTGCCCACATGCGAGCGCAGCCACTGGGGCGTTCGGTGGAGCTCCCCATGGAGCCACCCACGAAGCGTGTGAGGGGTGTGCCGAATGGGGGGTGGAACCGCATGCGAGCGCAGCCACTGGAGCGTTCGGTGGAGCTCCCTATGGGGCCACGAAACGTGTGAGGGGTGTGCCAGAATGGGGGGTGGAACCGCATGCGGGCGCAGCCACTGGGGCCTTCGGTGGAGCTCCCTATGGGGCCACGAAACGTGTGAGGGGTTTGCCAGAATGGGGGGTGGAACCGCATGCGGGCGCAGCCACTGGGGCCTTCGGTGGAGCTCCCTATGGGGCCACGAAACGTGTGAGGGGTGTGCCAGAACGGGTGGTGGAACCGCATGCGGGCGCAGCCACTGGGGCCTTCGGTGGAGCTCCCTATGGGGCCACGAAACGTGTGAGGGGTGTGCCAGAATGGGGGTGGAACCGCATGCGGGCGCAGCCACTGGGGCCTTCGGTGGAGCTCCCTATGGGGCCACGAAGCGTGTGAGGGGTGTGCCGAAATGGGTGTGGGGGACGCATGCGGCCGCGGGCACTGGGACCTTCGGTGGAGTTCCCTATGGAGCCACGAAACGTGTGAGGGGTGTGCCGAAATGGGTGTGGGGGACGCATGCGGCCGCGGGCACTGGGGCCTTCGGTGGAGCTCCCTATGGAGCCCCGAAACGTGTGAGGGGTGTGCCGAAATGGGTGTGGGGGACGCATGCGGCCGCGGGCACTGGGGCCTTCGGTGGAGCTCCCTATGGATCCACGAAGCGTGTGAGGGGTGTGCCGAAATGGGTGTGGGGGACGCATGCGGCCGCGGGCACTGGGGCCTTCGGTGGAGCTCCCTATGGAGCCACGAAACGTGTGAGGGGTGTGCCGAAATGGGTGTGGGGGACGCATGCGGCCGCGGGCACTGGGGCCTTCGGTGGAGCTCCTATGGAGCCACGAAACGTGTGAGGAGTGTGCCGAAATGGGTGTGGGTGACGCATGCGGCCGCGGGCACTGGGGCCTTCGGTGGAGCTCCCTATGGAGCCACGAAACGTGTGAGGGGTGTGCCGACATGGGTGTGGGTGACGCATGCGGGCGCGGGCACTGGGGCCTTCGGTGGAGCTCCCTATGGAGCCACGAAACGTGTGAGGGGTGTGCCGAAATGGGTGTGGGTGACGCATGCGGGCGCGGGCACTGGGGCCTTCGGTGGAGCTCCCTATGGGGCCACGAAACGCTGTACTGGGTGGGTGAAACGCAGGGAAGAGGGGGAGGAGGGAGGAGGAGGGGGGAGGAGGCAGCGGGAGGAAGGGAGGAAGGAGAACGCGGGGCGCTGTCTCTTCAAAACGAGGACCCAGCACCACAGGATGGTTGGGAAGAAACATTCAAATTAGCCTGGCGAAGAACCCAACCATATGCAGTTGTCAGTACCGCAGCTGCGGGTTTCATCTTCAATGGGACTCCCTATAGGATTACGGAACGTGTGAGGGGTGTGCCGAGATGGGCGCCACTGGGGCATTCGGCGAAGCTCCCTATGGGGACATGAAACACGCGCGGGGCGTGCCGACATGGGTGGCGGAAACGCATGTGCGGGCCGCCACTGGGGCCTCCAGTGGAGCTCCCTATGGGTCCCCGCAACATGATGCTGCTGCGGGGGGGGGGCCGGGATGGGTGGCGGAGACGCATGTAAGCGCCGCTACTGGGGCCTTCGGTGGAGCTCCCTGTGGGGCCACGAAGCGCGTGAGGGGTGTACTGGGATGTGTGGCGGGGACGCATGTGAGCGCCGCCACTGGGGCCTTCGGTGCAGCTCTCTATGGGGCCACGAAACGTGTGAGGGTTGTGCCGAATTGGGTGCGGGTGGTGACGCATGCGGGCGGCAGCACTGGGGCCTTCGGTGGAGCTCCCCATGGGGCCACGAAACCTGTTGTTGTGAGGGGCGTGCCGGGATGGGTGGCGGGGACGCCTGTGAGCGCGGCCGCTGGGGCCTTCGGTGGAGCTCCCTATGGGGCCACGAAACGTGTGAGGGGTGTGCCGAATTGGGTGGGTGTGGGTGACGCATGTGAGCGCCGCTACTGGGGCCTCCGGTGGATGATGGGGCCACGAAACCTGTCAGGGATGTGCCGAAATGGGTGTGCGGGACGCATGCGCATGTGAGCGCCGCCGCTGGGGCCTTCGGTGGAACTCCCTATGGGGCCACGAAACGTGTGAGGGGTGTGCCGAAATGGGTGTGGGTGACGCATGCGGGCGCGGGCACTGGGGCCTTCGGTGGAGCTCCCTATGGAGCCACGAAGCGTGTGAGGGGTGTGCCGAAATGGGTGTGGGTGACGCATGGGGGCGCGGGCACTGGGGCCTTCGGTGGAGCTCCCTATGGAGCCACGAAACGTGTGAGGGGTGTGCCGAAATGGGTGTGGGTGACGCATGCGGGCGCGGGCACTTGGGCCTTCGGTGGAGCTCCCTATGGAGCCACGAAACGTGTGAGGGGTGTGCCGAAATGGGTGTGGGTGACGCATGCGGGCGCGGGCACTGGGT